CGGTCCAGGTGCGTCTTCATGTCGGGCCGCAGGTGGCGCGTGGTGGCGTAGCGCAGCCGCTCCTCGGGGTCCAGCTCACTGTACAGCGCCTCGCAGCTGGCCCGCAGGTTCTGCAGCCGCAGCTGGCTGGCCCGCTGCTCCCACACCGAGCGCGCCTTGGCCGAGTTCTGCTGCCTGCTGTGGGGAGACGGGCCAGCATGAGTGGCCGCCTCGCACCGCCCCACTTGAGTCGCGGGAAGCCACAGATGGACACGCAGCATGGAGTGTTGGCACAGTGGACGCGGGGAGTAGGGGGGCGCGGGCAGCAGGAACCCTCAGACCCTACAGACCCAAGAGCACTGGCCTGGGTGGAGAGGGTCCACGGCCACTCTTGAGCAAGTGGACAGTGGCCCGAGGCCAAGGGGTGCAGGCGATGGGAATGACAGGCACCAGCATGAGGTGGAGGATGCTTCCAGGGCGGGTGGGCCACTCGCCAGGAAGGCCAAAATGGTGGGGGGGTCGGGGGGACAGCGTCCAAGCCCACAGGACTCAGGAAGGGCCGAAGCCCAGGGCCCTGCAGCAGCGCAGAGCTGCCAAAGGCAGGGCCCTCCCAGGGTGACAGCCACTGGCAGGGACCCAGGCAGGTGGAAGGGGCGGCCCAGGACGCAAGGGGCTGGGGTCAGAGGCCCTCAGGAGAGGACCTGCTCCCCGGGTGTCACTGCCACCAAGGTGACTGCCGCCGGGCTCCGCACCCATGGCTCCCAGGAGCCCAGCCATCAAGTCTCGGGCTGGAGCCACCCTCCTGTCTCCTGGCTCCATGGAGTGCCCTCCCTCCCCTAGGGACAGAGCCAGAGCAGTGCCAGGAGAGGCTGTGTCCAGGCTCGACCCCCACTGTGCAGGCCACCAACCTCACACTGTCACGTGTGGGCCCTGCAGCCCAGGGCACACAGGAAGCCCTTTGATGTCTGGACTCGGCTGGATAAAGCCCCCAAACCCCAAAGCAGGTGACCACAGCCCCACCCGGGCCCAGCAGAAACATCCTCTGAGGTCGAGTGTCACCCTCCCTCCTCTGCCCTGTGCTGGGGGTGTGAGAACAGCGGTGGCCGTGATGTCTGTACCGCTCGGCAGCCACACCATGCTCTAGCGCAGTGCCCGCCTCATCCAACCCTCACGGCTCCCTTGGGAATTAGGTGCTGCCCCAGCCCCACATCGCAGATGAGGACCCTGAGCCCAGAGAACAGACTCGCAAATGGTCCCACAGTGAGTCACTGACGGAGCCAAGATCGGACGCGCGCGAAGGCAAGGAGGAAAGTATCTAAAGAGAACGTGAGGCCTCAGCCAGACCCAGCACAGCGACAGCACAGCCTGGAGCCACAGCCTGAGGGTCCTGGGTCTGCCCAGCCACCAACTCTGGGGCCCTGGGCCACTGGCACCATGGTGACTCACCACACACGGAGGCGAGTTAGCCTGGACAGAGGAATGGATGAGTCCTGCCCCTTTGCAGGTGAAGTCTGGGCCCGCTGTGGGGGCAGAAAAAGCAATGTCCATCCCTCACCTGAAGCCCCCATGGGACAGGGGTGGGGGCAGGGCGACGTGTGGGAGATATCTGCTGACCCCCCCTCCAGCTGCCAACCGAGGCCCTGGCCTGCCCCCCGACACACGGAACCCCTGCTGCCTCATTCCCAGGGTCACCTTGCCACAAACCTATCTTCCCTTTCTTCAGCTTCAACCTAAAGCCCCAAGGGATCTCCCCGCCCCCAGCTGGCAGCAAACACAGGGCCTGACCCATGGAAAATGGACGGCAGTCACACAAGCCATGCCCCAGGCGTAGGAGCCCATGAGGGCTGACAGCTGGTCCCTGCCTCGGGTCTCCCAATCAGGCCGGCACTCCGAGATGGCCTGGACTCTGAGCCATTGGTCAGCAGGCTGGCGACCTGCTCTGATGCATCCACAAGTCCCGGGGACCGGTTCTCTGTCAGAACAGACAGGCACTAAAGACGATGGGACTAGTGGTGGCCGGCAGCACAGATGGGGTAGGCTCCCAGGGGGACGGCTGTGCCCTCTGCAGCTCCTTCCCTCCTCAGGACCAGCTCGAGGCCACAGAGAGCTGGCCTGCCCACTGGACTGCAGGTCCCCTCAGGACCGTCCTGCTCTGCCTGGCCCTGCCCCGGCCCCAGCTGGGCCTCGCTGCCGCTCCGGGCCCCAGTGCCACTGTCTGCAGCGCCCGCCCCTTGGCCGTGCTGCTGGCTCCCTCTCTGGACGTGTCTCTGGGTCTGTGTGCCGGGCCAGTGCCCTCGCGCTGGTGTCTGCGTCAGCCGCACCAACACCAGTCTCTGCTCCGAGGTCGCGGCAGCGCGAGAGCGAGCGAGCGAGCGAGGCTGGGCTCCCCTCCACTCTACCATCCGCTGTGGCCGGTGACTCCCACTGGCCAAGCCCTCGTTCAGAGGGCTCCTCAAGGGGCCCCAGGGGGAGCCGTACCCATGGCCCAGGTGCTGTGGGCGCCCCTGTGCTATGGTCCTGTTTTGCGGTTTCTGGGCTGATAAAGCTGGTCGCCTGTGGCTGCTGATGTGTGGTGGCCCCTTACGGGACATGGGTACCAACATGTCCGAATCCGACTACGCCCTGTGAACCAGTCTCTGGTTCCAGCCCTCATCCCCCGAGAGGCAGCGGGCCCACAGCCAGCAGCCCAAGGAACTACGGGGGGCAGAGCCCAGTCCTGTGCTGGCCAAGCAGGGCCAGGAGCACCCACTCCCACCAGGACCAGGCAGGGCACAGCCTCGCCCTCAGGAGAAAGCCCTGGGGACAAGCCTCCCAGGACCGCGGCCCCAGCCAGACTGGCATCACCCGAGCAGGGCCCCCCTGGGGTTTCTGCGGCTGCACGTCAGGCTCTCGCTGGTCTGATGTCAGCCTCACTGTTGGAAGCGGCTGTGCTCATGCTAGACAAGGACTTCCTGAAGGTCGCAGATACACCCGCCCCCCAAGCAAGGAAGGGATGGCACAGAAGGACCCGTGAATGTCCACAGTGAGCCCCTAACCAGCACCACCTCATGGGACAAGGAGACAGCAGCGGCGGTCACCTCAGGAGAAGCGGACATACTCCAGACACCAGAGTGATGGCACACGGACAGACGGCAGACAAGAGGACAGAGATCCGGAAGGAGGGGAGGGGGGGCTGAGCGCAGAGTTCGAGGCCCGTGAGCAGGACTTGAGGACATCAGGAAGCGGGCCCACTGTCCCCCGCCAGGCTGCAGGCGGCTGGCCTGGAGCTGCCCCCGGAAGCAAATGACTCGGTGGGAAGCAGAGTTAGGCGTGGAGGGCGCGCGCGTGTTGTTATGAAGCCACGGTGGGTGTCGTAGCGACTCACGCTGAGTTTACACTGGAGACAGATGAGCTGCGAGACACAGGACCTCGGGTCTGCCTCACAAAACTGCGCGAGCAAAACAGACAAAGCACAATGAGGACACCAGAGCGTCTGCGAGGCACCAGAGCACGCGCACGCCGCGTCGGGCTGGGTGCGGGCTGCAGGGTGCGTCTGGGCGGGAGGCCGGCGTGCGTCCGTCAGATGGTCACCAGCCAAGACCTCGGGGTAAAAGAGAAGTTGAGAGAGAAGGAGCGTCCGGCAGAAAAGTGAAACCAAAGTGAACACAGCAAACCCCGCCAAGGCAGCGAGACAAGAGGCGTCTGGGGACCCGTCGGCCACAGCTCGGCACGCGCCGGCCCCGCGGGGAGCTGGGTTAGGAACTGGCACCGCCTACCCCACAGCTCCGAGCAGCCCGCCGACCCAGGGCGGCCCGTGCGGTCGCCGTGCCTTCTGTGCCTTCCAAACGGAGCAGAGCTGGGTGACCCTGGAGCTTTACCTGCGACGTGTCACTTGGGCCCTGCTGCCTGACCGCCCCGCTCTGTCCCAGCCCGCCACGGCCCCTCAGCTCCCCAGCTCTAAGCCAGGTGCTTCCAGCTCACCTGGGCGAACAGGTTACATCACTAGCCCTCCCTCCACTTCCAAGTGACTTTCTGGAAGCTAAGCATCTCTTTACGATCTTGTCCCTTCAAAGTGGCTCCCCTGGGGAGGACCAGGCACTGTCCCAGCTCCTCCTTGTCAAGGACAAGTCTGCATGTAATCACGAGGAGGATGGAGCAGCTCACCTGACTGCAGGCCCAGGGGGCAAAGAGGTGTGTGTGTGACTCAGTGCGCAAATTTGTGAATGAGCACGTGAGGGGGTATAGGTGGGTGAAACTGTGTGGCTGCGTGCATGAGGCTGTGTTAGAGTGAATGTGAATGTGTGAGTGTGAACATGTATGAGAGCAAGCGGCAAAGTGTGTGAATGCGAGAAGGTGGGTGTGAACATGTGGTTGTGTGGATATGTGCAAACATGTCAATGTGTGTGAACGTGTGAGAACTGAGTTGAACATGTGAGTGTGAATGCATGAATGAGTGTATGTCAGTGTGTTTGTGAGCACGTGGGGATGAACATTAGTGTGAATGTGTGTAAATGTGTGATCACTGAATGTGAACAAGTGGGTGAACACATGTGATAGTGTGTGAACGTGTATGAATGTGTGGGTTTATGTGAGAACATTTGAGTGTAAACACACGTGCGAGCATGTAAGTGTGAATGAGCAATGACGTGTGTGTGAACGTGTATGAGAGTGTGAATAAGTGTGAATGTGAGAGTGTGAGTGACTGTGTACACAGAACGTGAGTATGAACACGAGTGTGAGTGCATAGGGGTGTGAACATGCACATGTTAACCTGCTAGTGTGAACGTGCATGTGTGCGCCAACACTGCGAAGTCAGGTGATGATGAGGGTGGCAAAGCACAAAGCACAAAGCACCAGGAAGACCACGTCAGCCTTAGTGTCCCTTCCCCCCAGGAGCATGACATGGCTGCCACCTAAACCCCAGCCAACCCCCCAGGGACAGGCATCCCTGAGGTGGGTCCCAGAACAGAGGCTCAGTCCCCAAGGGCACTGTCAAGCTGCACGGAGCACCGAAGGGAGCTCTAACGGCCAAGGACACCAAGGTCCTCTCAGCACCCATGCGTCACAGACAGCATCTCGGCCAGTCCTCCCGTTCCACAGACCACACGCCTGGCTCTACCTCACCCTAGCATCTCACCACAGAAATGACTGCTGGGGAGCAGCAGGCGCCGGCCCTGCCAGCCAACTCACCTGGCGGACAGGACCATGCGGGGGGTGGGGGGTGGGCAGGCAGACAGACAAACTGACAGACAGCAGGAGCTCTGAGACCTTGGTAGGACAAAAGAAGGCGAACAACCACACATGCCCGGGGGCCTGGTGACCACATGGGACCAAGTGTATGTCCAACATGGGCTGAGGACATACCTGAGGACTGAGGCCTAGACCTGCATCCCAGGAGAACCCACAGCTAGTCCAACACCTGGACACATCCCCGGCCGGCTGTGACGCAGCAAGCCCACACAGATCAGGGGCCCTGTGAGACCGAGCACCCTGCCCCCAGGAACCCTCTCCCACGGGAGTGGCAGTGCCACAGCAGGGATCAGGCCGGCAGCGGGCGGGTGCGTTCCCCAGGCCTGGGGTGCCAGGGCAGCCCGTTCCTGCAGAGCAGTGTCCCCGATGGGAGCAGGGCAGGGGGAAGCACTGCCAGACTGCCCGCTCAGGTGGCCCACCGCGCTCCCCGTGGCTATGCCGACGGCCCCAGCACCCTCCTCTCCAAGGTCTCAGCCCAGATGGCAGCAGACACCCTGCCACACACCCCCCGACAAGCAGGCAGAGGAGCTGTGGGACAACACACTCACCTCCAGAAACAGCAGAGAAGGCCCATTCTAACCGGAAATCACACAAGCTAAGGCTCGCCGCCGCCCGCTGAGCAGAGCCCGCAGGCTCGGAGTGCCGGCCGAGGGCCCTGGCGGGAAGCCTGCCGTGCCCGCGGCCCCAGAGCGAGCAGCCGAGCGGAAACCAGGCAGACGATGAAACAGCACACAAGCCAAACACTCGGCCGCAGCGGCTGACTGGGTGACCACTGCTGTGTCCTGCCTGGGCTCCCGGGGGCCTGTGGCCTCCTCCAGCTCCAAAGGCCAGTGCTCTGTGCTTGGCTAAGAGACTGGTCCTCTGCAAAAAGCTTTCCAGAAAAAAGCCCATCGCCCTGGTGACCACCAAGTAAGAATAGGGCTGCTAGAAAGCACATTCGAACGTGCACACGCACACGCAACCAGATGCACACACCGTCTCGCAGCTGTACACTGACACTCCCAGCAGACTCTTCCACGTGCCAGCACACGCGCCTGGCAGCGCAGGTGCACGTGTCACCACGGCTGTGGCTGCTCGTGGTGCCATGGTCGCAGTGCTCAGAGAGAGTGGGAGGCCGGCTACAGCGCATGGGCCACGGGAGGTGTGGGGGTGGCTCGGGGCTGGCAGAGCCAGAAGCTCCAGCGTGAGCTCAGCCTGGCCCACGGTGAGCCCTCAACAGCAGAGACCTCCCCTGCGCTCTCACGGTTGCCCTGGAGCCAGGCCTTGGTCCGGGCTTCCCTCCCTCTTCCAGACCTGCCCTTCCCCGGGCTGATCCACCCCAGCCCCTGCAGCCTTCGGCCCCAGGACCAAACTGTCCCTGCCCCAGATGTGCTTCTGGGATGTGCCCTGGGGCTCAGTGGAACCGGGGGCAACCAGAGTCTGCACAGAGGCCTTGGTCCTGTCTTCACCCCTCCTCGTCAGAGAAATTGCCTCAACCCCTGACCTAACACCAAAACCTCAGACATTCTGGAAGCTGCACTGAGTCTTGTGGGCTCTAACATACCACCCAGAACCCTCTGGCTCACAAAACTCACTTCTACAAAGTCATGTGTAAAATAGACGGATTGACTTGTGGGCTTTGGCTCAGAGGGACGCTGGAGCCACTGAGACTGCAAACACCCAGGGCAGAGCCCCCGCCCCCCGACACGCCTCACCACCCGGGCTAAGCCTGTGGGCAAGGCTCCTGGAGGAAGGAACCAGGGCCCAGGAGAGGCCGTGCCCTGCCAAGGCGTGGGGCCCTCTGCAGAAGCCCCACAAGGCGTGCCCTGCTGACGTCTGGCTGCGGACTCTGGGGCAGCCCCGCCGCCCCACGGTGGCCCCGAGCCTTACGCAGCGATGGAGACGTTGGCGGCTGATATGGGGCTGACTTCAGCCACCTCCTTGGCCTTCTGCAGGGCAAGCTTCTGGTTGGCTGCCTCCTCCATCTCCTCTTCATCCTGTTTGAACAGAGAGAGCTCGGGGCTGCCCTTCAGAGCTGCCCCACCCCCACCCCGTGGCCTCTGTGTCCCTCCTGCCACCTGGACGGGTGGGGCCAAGAGTCTGGGTCCCGCCTTGGCACCACCCGTGCTCCAGCGTTGAGCGCCAATCCCACATAAGCTCCCTGGTAGTGTCCGGGGATCCCCTCTATGCAGCTGCTCAAGGTGACAGTCCCCAAGTCCCCTGCCTCAGCGCTCTGTCTCCACGTGCCATTTCCCACAGTGGTCGGAAGGCACACCCTGACCCCGCTCCGGAGCTCCAGCCCTGGGGACCCAGCCAGGGCCTGGACAGCTCTAAATGCAAAGTTCTCCTCCTCTCATCCAGCCCGGCTCCACCCCCAGGGGCAGCTGTCACACCAGAACAGTCAGCATCTGTCCCAGGGCTGCAAGGGCAAAAGGGGCGGGGCTGCGCCCAAGCCTGCGTCCCAGCCAGCACTGCCCGCAGGAACCGCCACCAGGAGCGAGTCCAGCAGGCCACCTCTCAGCCCCTGCAATCTTCTACCTGGACCCACTGGGTAAGTCCACCTGTCCCAGCTGTGACTGTGAGACGTCCCTCCTGATGCTCCCCACACCTGGACATCCACTTGTACTGCCTGGCCCTATGTCCCCTTCTACACCGAGTCCCTCAAGACAATCTCCTAGCTCTCTGACACATGCTCAGGCTGCACTCACACATGTCCCACCTGCCCCTCTCACTGATGGGGCCTTGACCCCAGGTCACCAGGCAAAACCAACCAACGCATACTGCTCCTGGGGTCCAGACAGACAGCTCCAGGCCCTGCTAGACAGCTCATTCCCCAAACCCGGTCCTAAGGACACCTGGCTCCTCTGGGGCTGGCACTCCCAGCATGTCCAAAAACGTCCTTGCATCTGTTCTTAGGGTCACAATAATGGCAAAAACTCAGCCTGTGAGCTGCCTGCAGCCTCCCTGCCACAGAGAAGAGGCCTGCCAGCTGGGCCCCAGACAGAAGGCGAAGCGAGATTCACCACGGAGCACGCCAGGGGCCCCTCCTCGGGCTCCCGGCTCCCCAGGCCTACCGCCCCGGAGCAAAGCACGTCTCTGCTCGCTCGGAAGCCGTTCCACAAACTCAACCGATTTATCTCCACTTCGAAAAAAAATGACTACATCCATATGAATATGAAGGATGGGGTCAAGCCCTGTCCCCTGGGGCTCTTGGCCAGACAGCCCCCGCCTAAGCTCCAACTCCAGGGGCACCACGGCCAGAGCACCTGTGCGTGGAGGCCGGGCCAGGATGGCGCTGCCTCGGCGTGTCTTGCCCTCGGCAGTGCCTGAGCAGCTGAGGCTCGCCCCGCCCCAGGCCAGCTGGCGCCAGACAACCGACGCTGCCGGGCACCCCAGCTGACACAGGCCCGAAAATGCTGGCACCAGGAGGTGCCCTTTAGGTTCACGGGCCCCCAGCCCAGGCAGCCCAGCCAGAGGCTTGGCCGTGCTCTAGCGACCACTGCCAGCGAGGCTATCCGGCCTCTCCTCACAACAGGAAGGACAGACCGGGAGGATGGCCGGGTCCTCGGAAGCCAGCAGCCAGAGAGAGGAGGCTGGACCACCAGCAGCACCAGCGCCCGGCCTGGGGGCACAGGCAGGCCCCACCTGGAGCAGCTTGCAGGGCGGGTGGGGCAGCAGCGGCTGCAGGGCAGGCACGCCGCCTGCGGAGGCCCCTGGGCCTGCCTTCCTTGGGGAGGGCCCAAGTCAAGCTCAGCCCCAGGATGAGGACAAGCTGAGTCTTGGGAGCAGACTGGACTGTGTCACCCACGCACAGGGAAGTGCACACGCAGGCCCTTCCAAGCAAGCACACGAGTGTCTGCGACAGGACAGCACCTGTCCCCAAATGGTGTGACTGCATGGGCGCTGGGGTGCGTGTCACACAAGCCGAGGCCGAGACAGCAGGCGGCCCAGCAGCACGGTCCAGGGCTGTGAGGGTGACCACGCAGGGAGCTGCGGCGCCTGGAGGGAGACCGCAGGAGAGACGTGTAGTCACACCCCCCACCAGGCACCCGGCAGAGGAACTCGTTAGCCGGCATCCCCTGGGGCCATCCACATCCATAAAGGCGCCACTCTGCTGAGGCCCAGCCCTGCAGAGAAGGTGGCGCCAGCCAGGCCCCTCGTCTGAGGACAGTGCTGGCCTGCACACCCAAGAGCGAACGGTATATACCCACGGCTGGCCGGGAGCACAGCTGATTCCTCACCGCCCAGGGACGAACACAGCTATCTTCAAAGCTGGGCACCCCCACGGCGCACTTCCCGCGTCCCTTGCTCACACGTCAGTCCCGTGAAGTGTTTGTGGCACACGCTCAGGGCTCTATCTTGCTGCACCTCCTGGCAGGACCCTGCTCCCCATGCCTCCCTTGACTTTCTGGCGGCTCTGTGCAGCTGCCAGCTCGTCCGGGAGAGGCCCCGTGGTCATCTGCCTTGCTGGCATGGCATCTCTCAGTGCCACTACCCTGCACACAAGTGGCAGCCTGATTTCTGCCTGTCCACTACCTTCAGGAGACTTCTTTGGACACTGTCACACAGGTTTTGATGCACGACCTGGCCCTCCGTGTGGCCTCTGGCCCTGGCCAGAGTGACGTGGACTGGCCCCCACCGCTTTCTGCACCTGGTCCCAGCCTACGTACCTTGGTCAGCTCCTGGGCGTTGGCAAGATTGTCCACAGCGATGGCCAGGAAGACGTTCAGCAAGGTGTCTGGGAGGCTCCAGGTAAGGAAGGGAATCCTCTGTCCCCATACAGCACCACGTGGTCACACTGTGGCCCCCCTCAGAAAACAGGGCCCCCCAAGATCCCAATCAACCTCCCTCGGCATCCACGTCCCCTGTAAGCCCCCAGGCCCTCTGGCCCCTGCAGTCCCCAGAGGTAGCCCAGCACAGCTGCTCCTGCCAATCCTCCCCCGTCAAGCTCGTGTCCCTGGTCTCCCCCGGGGCCCACAGGGCCCCTTCCCCCAACCCAGCTCTGCAGGGCTGAACTGCTAGGCCCAAAGCTCAGAGGCCGTGTTAGGTTAACCTGCTCTGGCTTCCCAGGAGGGCCCATGACTGCCGACTTCTGTCCACTTCCCCAATTTCTGGCCACCGTGACCAGCCTGCAGGCAAACATGTCCGCTCTCACTGTGGGCACATGGACCTCCTTCACCTTTGGGCCCCATGAGTAGAGACCACCTGAGGCAAGCCACAGACATGTAAACCCACCCACGACCAGCACCTCCTGAACCCCAGGGCGCAGGCAAGGCTCGCAGACACCTGCCCCTTTCAAAGTGAAGTCCTTGGCCCCTCCCTCGAGGTGCCCTGTTCCCAGCGTGGCAGGGGAAGCAACTGTCCAAGCCATGCTGCTGGTGACAGCACTGAGTGCCCAGCCCCAGGCCTCCACCTGGACCACCTCATCCCACTGAGCGCCCAGGAGCCATGACGCTTCCACACTTCCTTCAGAAATGAAGACACAGAAACCACAGGGGAACTTCTCCAGGGTCCCAGAGTCACGCAGAGCCCGATGGCCTGTCCTGGAACCTCCACGGGATCAGGCCCTCCTGTGCCTCTGATCTGGGTCACTCCTATTTTCCCGTCACTGGAGCTGCCTCTTCCTACAAGCTCATCTCGGCAACGAGCAGCTAGCTGTGCCCCTGTGCTCCTCGGAGTGGTGCCCCAGGCCCTTGGAGCCGAGCCTGGGAGCTGTCCCTGCACACCCTGTGGCCATCCACGAAGGCCGCTCACTCCCTGGCGGGCTGACACTTCCGGGCAGACAATCCATCATGAGCACCAGCCCTGGCCTCTGCCCACTCGGTGCCAGCAGCACCCCCACTTCAGTCACGGCAGCCACTGTCTGACATGGCCAATGTCCTCTGGGGACAAAGTTGTCCCACTTTGAATCCTGCCTCCCAGAGACCTGAGTCCTGTCACCACAGGCCCAGGGACTCACACCCTGCCACCAGGGGCTCGAGCAGCAGTTAGCTCTGCAGAGGACAATGATGACCCTGTTGGTCAGGGACCCCTCTGGCAGGAAGGCACCCTGGGTCTCAGGGGAGCTGGCACCCCAGGGCCCTGCCTCACAGGCGAGCCAGCTCAGGGCTGCAGCAGAGCCCACAGGACAGGCAGGACAAGGGCTGGCTGCCACTCGGAGAGTAACAGCCCCACGCAGACATGCTTGGAGGCCTTCCCACGGCAGGGCACGGGGCTCAGACCCCAGACAGAGTGACAGGTGCAGGGTGGGGAGGCCCTACCACCAGGACGCCTCGCCTGGGTGTGCAGGGTCAGAACCAGCAGTGGCCACTGTCCGGCCGCGGCCCCGCTGCCAAGCCGAAGGATACAGTTTCCGAACAGCGTCAGGACGATGAAATAGCAGGACGAGAACATGCCTTTGCTGACTCCGCCCTGCGACTCGATCCCGTGGTACATCACGGCATTCCAGTCCTCCCCGGTCAAGATCTGCGGGAGAGCAGCGTGGGCAGGCCTGTGCGGCCGCCGGCACACACCTGCACACACACGGGCATAGCGTGCACGCACGGGATGGTGGAGGAAAAGGTAGGCCTGGGGTCCTCCAGAGACACTTCCAGAATGACATGGCTGCTGAGCTGGGTCATGCCTCGAAAGAGGGATCTGCCCTGGGTGCTCAGCCAGAAATGGGGTGGGAACTTATAATCGCACCCATGAAAGTCATGCGTACTTTCTGTAGATTCATTTCGGGGCGCCCTATAGCTTTTGTTACTACTGCAAATAAAATCTTTCACTTTAACCAAATTTTCCAATTGAATTATGCTGCTATATAGAAAAGCTATATTTCTATAGGATGACCTTGTCCTCAGCAGTCCTGGTAAATCCTCTCACTTGGAATTGACTCTCTTGGATTTTCTATGTAAATAAGCACATAATTTACAAATAATAATTTTGTCTATTCCTTTCCAGTCTTTTTACCCCTTTCTTATGTCGTTACTACATCATGGCACCCTTATTTTAATTTTAATGCCTTTCATCTGTATTAGCCTGGGTTCTCCAAAGAAACAGGACTGGTAGGCGATACACACAGAGAACAAGGCCGAGAAGCCCCAAGAACCACGGTCAGCGAGGAGAGATGATGGTGTGTCAGTCCACGTCTGAGCTGGAGGTGGACAAAGCCAAGGTCCCAGCTAGAAAAGTCAGGCAGAGAACCAGGTGTCCCTGACCCAGCCTTCGTGTCCTGCTCAGGTCTCGGGAGATTAGAGGGGCCACTGTCATTGGGGGGAGGGGGAGCGCCCACTTTCTCAGTCTACCAATTCAAATGCCAATCTCGCACCGGAAGTCCCGTTTCACCTGGGCACCCCACGGCAAGGTCGAGCCAACACATGAAATCGACCATCATGCAGTCTTCTATCGCTGATGCTTGCTATGTGTTTTTTTTTTTTAATAACAGCTTTGAAATATAATTCACACACCATATAATTCATTTAATGTGTATAATTCAACGCGTTTTAGTATATTTGGGTATGAGTAACCATCACCACAATTTTAGAATGTTTTCTCTCCCTCAAAAAATGAAATCCGCAACTAAAAGGCACTGCCTCCCTTGCTGTGGTTTATTTTTAATCCTATCAATTCCTACCGTGAGAAGATTTATCACATCGGTGTCTCGGCTTCCCACATCTAGTGACAGCTCACTGCTCTTTTAACCTGCAGACAGGGGCTCATGTTGACGAATTCTCGCACTGCCGGGATAAATGCGGTCCAGCCACGCGCTTCTATTTTATACACAGGAGGACTGAGTGCTTGAAGGTTTTGTTTCAGACGGCTGACGTGTCCCTTCACTGAACAAAGTCTGAAGGTGGCTGCTGTGTGCTGACGACGTCCAGACACGCACTCGCCAGGTGGCACACGCAGGCGCTACTCATGGGGCTCACCCTCGGCTCTGCACTTCGCTTCGCCGACGGTGTCCCCGCCTGGTCTCTGAAGTGGCCTGAGCAGCTCGCTCTCTGTTCTCAGAAGGCCTGTGGCTCCCCAGGCCCCGGGCAGCAGGCGGGAAACAGGAGCAGGGCTGTGGGCTCCATTTCTTACTGGTTATGAAATTACTCAGCTTTTGTTTCACCTTGAGCTAATTTAAGTAGCTGATGTTTTCCCCAATAAGTGGATGTTTCATCTAGGTTTTCAAATCTACTGGCATACAGGTGTCAGAACATTCTTTTGGGATTAAAAGACAATATATCTCCCTTTTTGTTATGTCTTCCTTTTGGGCAATACTTTTTATATGTGCTTTTTTGGTGGCTCAGTCTTGCTATAAAGTTATCTATTTTCTTACTCTTTTTGAGAACAAGCTTCTTATGAATTTGTTACCTAGGTGTTTTCAGTTTTGTTTCATTAATGTCTGCTCTTATCATTTTTCCTGCTTTCAATTGTTCTTTGGTTTACTCTATTACTCTTTTTTCGAGATTTTTAAGGTGAGTATTTAGCTAGTTTCAGTCTTTTGCTCTGCTCTTTGCTTTCACGATGAGACACTTCCTTCCGAGCCCTGCTTCGGCGTCTTCCCATAGCTCCGGTGCTATTGCTCAGCTCTAGTGCCCTGTAGCGTCCGCTGCGATGCCTTCTTTAACTCAGTCCTCCAGCTTTCCAAGACAGGGAAGGTGTCAGATCCCGTTTCACTAGCCGTTCTGTCCAGTGGGATCGCACCGAGAATGGGCCGTGCAGGACGGCGATTCTCGCGTGTTCGCAGGCATATCCTGGGTCGATTCCTGTGGACAGTGTGTGTGCCCCGGGCAGAGAGGGCTCCGGCCCCTGCTCCCTGGCTGCAGAGCTCCGTGTCAGCAGACACACGCGGGCTGCCTGAGCTCTTTACGCCCCTTCTCATCTCGTCGGCTTCACCCTCCACTGGACAGAAGCACACGATCAGTCTGTTGTGAGGCGCTCACCTTTTGATGCCCGCATGTCTTTGCTCGGCATATTCCAGGCCTGTTAGGTCCACGAGCTCAAGGCTGCAGGCGCCCTGCGCCCACTGGGAGCTGCGCCCCACCTCCCTCTTCCCACTAGGTGATGCCCACCCACACGTTCCCACCAGGCGAAGCGCCCTGCATTTTCACTAAAGCTTGTCCACCACAGCTTCTGCTTTGGCCTTCGTTGGTTTTATATCAACTCCTCTTGGTTAATGTTTACCTAGTTTCTCTCTGCACCCCTTTATTTTTTAATTATGTAGCATTTCAAACACTCAGAAAAGTACCACAAATAATATTTAACAACCCTCTGTGGACCCGCTACCCAGCTTTAGAAGTAAAACAGTGAAGTGCAGCTGATGCTCCTCGCCCAGGTCCATGGCTGGCCTCCTTCCCCCTTGGCCCACCCCCGGGGGACAGCGACCTGAATCTGATGCTTGTCACCACCACGCACACTTTTATCCTCCCACTGCGGACGTGCCATGTTGTTTTGCCTGTTTTCACTGTTATTTAAACACAATCACATGCTATGGTTTTTTATTGTTTTTTGCTCAGCACTACGTGAGACTGACCCGTGTGCAAGCCTCTCATCCCAGGTCACCCCGCTCCCGGATGCACAGATGTAACGTGCTTCTCACCCATTCTCCTAACGAGCATCCAGGAGCTGTCAGTGTTTTCCTCTTACACATAAACCTGCTGTGATGTCTCACACTTGTCTCTTTGTGCACGACACTCCTGCCTCCAGTCCCTACGGAGAGAAATGCTTATGCCGAGTTCCAGGGATTAGAACTTATGGAATTACTCTCCAGAGTGGTTCTCAACCATCCACAGCACGAAGGAACCCTCGTCTCTCCACATCGTCTTTAAAATTTGATGATGTCGTTCTTAATTTCAGCTAGACTGACAGGTGGAAAGGCTGCTTCACTGTGGGCTTAACGTGCATTCCCAACTGCTGGTAAAATTGATAATGGTTCGTGCAGGTTTGTCAGCCAGTTTCCTCTCCTACGTGACCTGTTTATGCCCTTTGCCCGCCACATTATTTGTCTTTTTGTCTTGTGGACATTCTCGATATGCTCTGGACACTAATCCTTTGTCAGTTCTTTGCTGACACTGTGGAAATTTCTCCTTCCAGGCTATTACTTGTTTTCGTTGTTTTGTTTTTAATCTTTCCGTGGTGTCTTCTGACGCACAGAAGTCTTTACCAGTCAAATCTGTCAACAGCATCCTCTACGACCCGTGCTTTTCATCTTTTTAAAAAGCCCTTCCCTGCCTTGAGTTAATAGCATTGTACTTCCATATGTTCTTCTAGATTTTCACATTTTCTTTTCACACTTAGGTTTTAATCTATCCAAACTGATTTTCAAATCTGGTACAAGGTAGGAATCCAACTTCATGTTCTTCTCTGAATAACCAAATTGTCCCACACCATCTGCAATAATGACATTCAAGTTTTCCGCATATACAGTAATGATATTTTTCTTTCTTGTCAATCCCGAGAAATTTTATTTCATTTTTTTTCTTGTTTTGCTGAACTAAGATCATTGATACTAGCGTAATCTCCTAAGACTTTATTTGGAATAAATGAAATGTTATTATAGGGTTTTTCAAACACACAGAAAGTAGAGAGTATAATGAATCCCTATGTATTCATTGCCCACTTGTTAATTTGACAATTAAAATTTGCCAATATTATTCTGTCTATCCTCTGTTGGTTGTGATTTGCTATAGTTCAAACGCTTTTTCTGGTCGTACATGGTTTTTCCTGCTTTAATCTGTTAAGATGATGAGTTACATTACCAGACTTGCTAATGTCAAATCATCTTGCATTTCTAGGATAAATTCAGGTTGGTAGTAGGATGACTTTCAAGCATCTCTACACCTGATCAGTTATTACGTCCCCTCGGGATGCTTCTGCCTCTGTGTGTGTGTGATAGCAGTCAGTATTTTTCTTTTCACGTGTTGTGCTTGTCTAGTCTTTTCCTATGAGGCTAACTCTGCCTCAGACACGAGCTGGGGGCTCTCCTTTGAACCTCGGGGGTGGTCTGTCTGAGACCAGGAAGACTCTTTTCTTAAAATATTTAGTAGGGTTCACTTGTAAAACTAGCTGAACATGGTGACTTGGACAGGTGGCTGTTCGATTGTTCCATTTCTGAAACTTCGGGCTTTCTATTTCTTCTTGGGTTCGTCTAACGTCCCCTTCCTTCTATATCGCCAGCCGTACTAAACACAGAGCCGTCTGCGAGCCCGCAGCTGGGGTGGCGGTGGCCGCCTGGGTCCTGTCCGAGCGTGTCCTCAGCGCCGCCTCAGCTTGGAGCCCGGAGCTCCTGTTTGGGTCCTACCGATGGACTGCCCTCAGATGCGTCAGGGCTGCTGTTCCCAGACCTCGTGGCGTCGCTGCTCACGAGGGGCCTCCCATCGCACGCACCCTCCTGCAGGACCCGGCATTCTGGGGTGAGATCTCACACAGTGCGCCCGCGTCTGGCATTCTGCTCAGGGTTTGTGCGTCCCGCTTGGCTCCGAGTGCGCGTTCGCTGCGGCTTCCCCAGCGAACCGTCAGCACCCAGCAGGCCAGCCCTCTCTGGGGTGGTGTCAGCACCCAGTCCTCCCTTTGTCTTTCCCTTAAGCAGCTCTGAGTTTCATTGTGAGGCCTCTGCCTGCTCCTTTCCCATCACTCCCCGCTCTTGGTTCCTGGCGCCTCTCGCAGGACCTCGAGCCCTTCCTTCACCCTGACGAAGCCTGCCGCGCCCCCGCGAAAAGTCACCGCATTCCCCGTTCTTCCCACTCCCTCGGGACTGAGCTCGCCTGCCCCATGCAGCGGTGCAGTGCGTGCTGTCGACACCCCCGTGCCACCCCCCTCCCACCCCCTCAGTCTGCAGGCTCACCGCCAGCGAAGCTGAAGCTGCATTCTCCCAGGCGTGTGCCCTCCCTGCCACCCTCCCACCCCATTCAGAGGCAGGGGCTCCCATGCTGGGGGCTCCGGCCACGGGTCCATCCCCATCCTGCAGGAGTCACAGGCCTAGCCTGGCCCATAGCTTGAGCTTGTGACCTTCTCGGCCTCCTGCCCCACCTCAAGGGACACACACCTTCCCCAGCGTCGCCCTACACCCAGCCCCTGCCTCTTCCCGCCTGCACACGGCGCCGGGTCTCTGCCCCGTCTCTGCCCCCGAGACCGCTCTCCACGGGCGAGGTCGTCAGCGTCTGGAGGAGCTTTCTGCCCCGCTGCTGCACTCAGAGCAGCGTGCGCGGCCTGATCGGAACCTGCCTCTCCCGCCACCTCCGGCCTCCTCATCCCCTCCGGTTCCCACAGAGCCACCGCCACCCATGTTCAGGGCCTTTCTTGCCACAAGCACAGCACAGCAGAGGTGCGATGGTCCAGCGTGTCAGCTCCCTGGGCAAAGCCTCTCGGCTGGCACTTAGGGCTCCACCAGCCCGCAGAGCCCCCGGCACAAACTCTGTGCTCTCCCTACGCAGACCCTGCTTGCCTTCCCCCCGCTCTTCTGGAGCCCTCCTGACAACTCCCCTGTCCCATGCTCAATCCCACAGGAAAAGCGGGTACCCTCCTGTCACCAAGCCAACCACACCGCTCAGGAAAGGCCAAGCTTTGGGAGGCCTGGTCTTGGGAGTCACTGGCCGTGAGCGAGCCAAGGCCTTCCCCGTGGCATCCAAAGGTGAGAGCGGCTGTGGGCCGCCACCTGTCCCCACACTTGGGAAGTCAGAAGAGGGGAGATGCCACAAGGCGACTTGAGAGGCAGTGAGGCTGGACAAGAGGGCGAGGACAGTACAGGCCGACAGGCCAGCAGCAGAGGCGGCTCTGCTGACTGTCGCTGAGGACCGAGAGGCTGCAGGTCTCTGACCCAGGACAAGGGGAGGAAGTCGTCATGGGAGCCAGGAAGCCAAGCGCCAGCACCAGGCTGCCCTTAGGTATCTGCTGCAGACCCCCTCTCCATGAGGGGCCCTTCCTCATGCATGCTGGGGGCTCCAGGTCGGGCTGGGGTTGGGGTCGGCAGCCCCAAGGCCCGGGGGCCAAGCTGAGCCCCTGGCCCAGCACATGCAGCCTGCTGGCCTTCCCTAAGGATCATCCTGGGCAAAGCGGCCCCACCCAGCTCGATTCCAGACACAGCATCTGCAGAGGTCCCGTGGGACAGAAATGCTTGGCACCATGGTGTCTGTGAGCCCAGTCCTGGGCATTTGGGGGGCCAAAACCTTGAGAGGGACAAGTGCTAAAGCAGGAGAGCCCTCAAAGGGGAGATCCCCGTCCCCTGCAGTGGGGTGGGCATCCCCCAGACATGGAGAGAAGCGAGGGAGAAGCTGCTGCCTTGCTGTTCTGCTCCCAAGGACAAGGGACAGCTCTGGCTCCAGGTCTGGGGCTAAGAGGTCAGCTGTAGCTAGAAGCCAGCCGGCTGCTGGACAGCTGGGCTCCCCAGAGATGCCGTCGCAGGACATGAGGACCATGCTGTCTCCTGCTGCTGTCGCCTACCCTGCGCGGAGCGGTCCGAGAGGCTGGCCATCTGGGCTGAGCAGAGGCCCTGAGGAGCCACAGGAAGCTGCCTTCCCTGCACCCGGTGAGCTGAGCGGCCCGGGAGTGAGCCCAGAGCCGGGGCCTTACCTGGAAGACGGTGAGGATGGCGGCGGGGAAGGTGTCAAAGTTGGTCGTTGGCGTCTCATCTTTAAAGTTGAACCTGAGAAAAACAAGATGTCTTGAGAAGAGAGCCCATCAGAAGCCAGGAGGACCTGAACCTTGGCGCCCACCACTCGTCACAGCTGCAGGAAGGCTGATCTCCGGGAGGACCTCTGGGAATGCAAGCAGGTGAAGGAGGCCTGGGGAGAACCACAGCTCAGAGCTCAGCCTCCTGCCCGCATGGGCACACCTACTGTCCCCAAACAGCTGCTCCGAGCACCCCTCCCCGTGGGGCCACTCACTGTCCCCCGAACAGCTGCATGCCCAGCAGGGCGAAGACCACGATGAACAGGAAGAGCAGGAAGAGCAGGCTGATGATGGACTTCATGGAGTTGAGCAGGGACACCACCAGGTTCCGCAGTGAGTTCCAGTACCTGTGGCAGATGCAGCCCCGCTGGGACACGGCCTGCACTCACCGATCTCCATGGTCACACCTCTGCCCTCCCCCAGGGCCCCTTGCCCAGCGTGCAGGGGCTCATCCCCACAGTTCCAGAGGCGCGTCCAGCCCTCACTCGCTGAATCACCTCTGCTCTGGGCCTCGGCTGCCTCGCAGGCAAAGCGGCCAACTTGCTTCCATCTGGGATGAAGCTAAAAACATGGTCCCGCTAAAGAAGACAGGACGGGACAGAGCCAGGAAGAGGGGAGGGGGAGCGGGAGCAGGCCCGGGAAGGGGGCCGTGCAGGTGCCAGGCTGGCTCAGGGCAGAAGGGCAGAGCCTGCAAGGCCAGGCCCAGCTGAGCAGTGAGAAGATGAAAACACTCCCCTCCAGTGACTTGTTTTCTGCATAAGCGAAGTCACCTTCAAACACTGAAAGGTGAGACTGCTGGCTTCGACAGAGGGAATGGCACAGAAGTGCGGGGAGCAGACTAACGACAGAGCTGGGACCCTGCAATGCTGAGGCCAGTCGGGTCAGAGCCCAAGGGCAGCTGTGGCCCAGCGAGGCCGAGACGAGCACAGTGGCCGTGACTGTCTTCTGGGCTTGGGCAGTGACACTCTCCGCCTAGGCCCAGACAGCTGGGCCCACACCGGCACCGAGAGCCACTAGGATAGGCGCCCTATGCTGGGCAGTCCCACACGCGGCCTCGCTCCCCTGTCCCCTCCCCAGGAGCACAGAGGTAACCTACTTTGTGACTTTGAAGATCCTCAGCAACCGGAGTGCCCGCAGAACACTGATCCCAAAGGAGGTTCCTGGCTTGATGGCAGCCCAGACCACTTCGAAAATGCTCCCCACGATGACCTGCAACGGAGACGGGTTCAGCCCCACCCCGCACGCACACATCTGTGAGCAGGTGTCCCCGCCTGCCTGCGGCTGCCTCTCTCTGCAGGCACCCTCCGTCTCCCTCGTCTGCAGCTCAAGCCACACAGAGGACTGCAAGGGACATGCCTCATGTAGCTCCTGCAGCTCTTGGGGACCTGCAGAGAGCCCACCGGTCCTGCCGCCTGTGCTCCCTGCTCCTCTGCCCAGACACGCCAGGGGACGTGAGACTGAGCGAGGTTAGGCCTGCGACTTCCTAATGGACGGTAAACCCACCTATCTGATGCCTCGCCGCCCTGCCTCAGCACGGCCTGGTGACATCACGTCTTCTGGCACCACGGCGCCAGGCAGTGTGCTGCAGACAGCCTGGCCGTCAGGCTGTGCCCACAGGCCAGCGCAGCCCACTTCCCGGGACCCCCCAACCCTGGCGTGGCCTCCGACCTGACACGTTCGGATTCATAAGCTGCATCTTGAGTCTTGTCTCCTCTCAGTGACCAGAAACCAGCACGTGTCACCAGGAATTTACTGTGGTAACCCTGTCCTTTAGTTTCACCAACAGCATCACCCCAGACACTGTCCATGTGAGCCAGGGGCTTGCCCTACTCCTGGGGCTCTGCAAAGGGCCATCCTGGCCACTGTCTAGCGTGAGGGACAAAGAGAGGACGAGGGTGGGGCTGGAGCACAGCAGACTCCTCACCATCTCTCCTCTGGATGGGACACTCTGTCCCTGTGGCACACCTCCCAGGCACGGCCGGGCCCTTGTCACATGTGCCCTCCTCATGTGGGGCTCTTTCCTCCGCAGTGTGCGTGAATGACAAATGCCAGGCAGGAACCTTCGATTCCACGTCACTGCCCTTGGTGCATGCAGTGTCCAAGGTCTGCCTCGTCCACCGATCCACCGAACCCTAAACCTGACCAGCTCAACATGGACACTGTCACCAAGCCACTGAGACAATGCCAAGTAGCCAGGACAGAGGCCTTGGTCCATCACCGGACACTGCCCCACAGCTGATGATGGCCTGTTAACTGCAAGTCTGGTCTGGCGGTCACACCAGCTACGGGTCACAGCCACCGCCACCCCTCCACCTTGAACACAAATGCATTGTGCAGAGAATGCCAGCTGTCCTGCGGACACCCAGATATACCCACAGCTGTAGCACCTGTTGTGACCCCCGCAACACAGCACATGGGACAAGCTGGCCACAATCTGGCCATCTCCGGCAATTTCCCACCGCGCTCCCAGAGCCTGCAGACGTGGCCCCGGCTGCAGACTCACCTTCTAGGTCTTTCTCCTCACTGTCTGTCTTGCAGCGTTTCTCCTAGTTTCCATGTATTTTCCTCAGACTTGGCTCCCATTGGTTCAGCATGCAAGTGGCCTCTAAGATGGCATGACGAGCCCCGCCTCTCGGCCTTTACCCCCTTGCTTAACCTCTCCTCTAGAGGACGGGCTGGACCAAGTGACTGACTTCCAGCAAATAGAAAATGACAGAAGTGGCGAGATGTCACTTCTGAGGCGAGATTTTACAAATGACTGGTCTCCCTCAGTGCTCCAGCTCTCTCAGGTCCCCACCTGCCACGTGGTGAGAACAGCAGGTGAGCGAGTCTGGAAGCCGACCTTCTGGGCCTGTCAGCAGCCATGGGCGTGAGCTTGGCAGCGAGTTCTCCCACCCAAGGAGCCCGCGACGCTTGCCACCTCCTGGGAGACTTGGAGCAGGGACACCCAGTTAAGTCACACGCTGACTCCTGATTCACTGAAATGTGGGGCGATAAACGTTTGTTGTTTCAAACTCCTAAGCTTTGGGGTGATGTGCTACACAGCAAGAAAAACCAACACGAATCTTGGAAACGGCAGATGAGGTGCCGCTGAAGTAAAGCCTGACACATGGGCGAGGTCTGGAGCGCGGGCGGGCGGCAACCCCAGCATGCCCCGAAGTGTGGTGTGCACGGGCCGCAGGCCGCGGCCGTCACAGGACCTGGGCAAGCATCCTGCTGAGTGGCGCGGGGCTGGGGCCACACCGCTGCCCAGACGATGGAGGCCTAGGAAAGGCGCTCAGTGGGCTGAGCAGGCTCCGGAGCATAGGCTGACGGCGCCACCCCGTGTCCCCCTGCTGCTGTGCCAGATGCCAGGGGACTGAGCAACGAGAAGTAAAGGCAGCTGGGACTTGCTTGTTTGGGAAACGCCTCCTGGACAGCAAATAATCGCAAGCGCAGAAGGGGCCTGGCGTGGAAACGGAGCCCAGGCCTGGCGGAGACTCTGCTTCCCCTCCCTGAAGGGCACTGTCACTCGCACCTTCGGACAGGCTCCGACGCCTCGCAAGTAGCTCAGGAAGCCGAGGCCCAGGACACGACGGCGTGACGGCCTCAGTCGTGGTGTCAGGCGCACAGAAGGGCTAGTCCCGAAGACAGCTGTGGGCACGGCTGCTGTCTGATGGGTGGGCTCCAAGGACATTTGCCACAGCCACAACGTTCTCAGGAGACTTAGCTTTGCAGAAACTTCACCATCTTGAGTTGAAAGGGACAGACACAGCACAAAACCGAAGTAGGCCTTTGGATGCCCCAAACCCTACCAGCAGAAAGCACACACCTTCGTGAGAGAGGACAGGTGACTCGGAGGGCAAAGCCCGGATCCCGAGGCTTCCCAGGCCTCAGAACTAAGCACTGTTGCCAATGTGGGCCTGGCTAGACTCCAGGATCGCAGTGAACCAGGGGCCCTGACGCGTCCACTGTCCCCTTTGAACCACACCCGGTGCCACGCTGAATGCGGGTGTGGACGCACAGCGGGCCTGTCCAGGGTCTGCACACTGAGAGGGGCCTGGGGGCTCAGCCACACAGGCCTGAGCAGGTGATGGCACCTGAACTTCAAGCAGGTGCCGCAGAGGGACGAGGCCTCAGGGGACCGGGAGGAGGCGAGTGTGTCTCACGCTGGGACCAGAGGGTAGACTGCGGCAGGCAGCCATTGAGGGTGCCCCCGAACCCCTGGCCTCCTGGTGTTCACGCCCGTGTAATGCCCCCATCTCCTCAGGGGGGGCTAGATCCACCACGGAATATGGAAAACCGAGGGGTTCTGTCTTCTGAGGTGGGTTCCTGGGACTTCTGTCTTGGGCACTCTCAGCTCCCTCTCAGATCTCAAGCTGCCATGTCGTGAGGTCACTCCTCAGCTTGGGGAGCCCATGTGACCAGGACCCGAGGCCAGCAACCCCACAAGTGAGCCTGGAAGCCGATCCGAGTCTCAGCAACAGCCCTGTGCTGAGCTGGAAAGCAGACTCTCCAGTCCTGCCCCAGCCCGGATGACTGCGTGCCTGGCCATCAGCTGGACGGCGCCCTGCATGGCCCTGGGCCACAGAGACGGCGAGAGAACCGACGTTCACCATCCCAGGCTGCCAGGCGTGGAGAAAGTGCTTAGCCGTGTGCAACAGCTCCCAGCCGGGGGGCGCCCCCCACCGGCCAGCCCAGGCAGGAAGGCTGACGCACCCTTGGGAGCTCCCGCAGCCCCTCCCTCTGGGGCCCCCACCTCCAGCTGAGACTACCCACTCCGACTGCAGGCGCCAGGTCTGGGGCAGGTGGCAGCAGCACCTGCTCTCCGCCAACCCCGGGCAGCACCATACGGGGCAAACCCCCAGGGGGACATCGCTCCAACGCCAAGTCCTGCCAACTGCTGGGTGGCCTCAGGCCAAGCACGTAACAGCTGTCCTTGCTCCTGCACAGCCAGGCATCGTGTGCAGGTTCTGCAGTCACAGATGCCAGGCCCTGTCACCGTGCCGAGTGTGGTGACTTCCAGATGAGGCTTCACCCCGCCAGGTCCCGGGCCCACCTGCTGCTGACAACTGCGCACCAGCGGTCCGTCCTGGGCCAGGAGCGACAGACCGCTGGGTGGGCCCCACTGCGCTGGCCCTTGGAGCCTCGCCCCGGGCTTACCTGACCGCCTGGCCAAGCCACAGCGCCCCACCCAGCAGCCCGGCCTACACAGGCCCCATCCCGCCCCCGGGTGCTAGCTCGCAGGGGTGGGCTGTGTGACGCCCAGCTGTCACCCTGACAGGCTCTGCACTCACCCCAAAGTCGAAGCAGTTGAAGGAAGACCGGAAGTAGCTCCGGGGCCCCAGGCCGTACATCTTCAGGGACATCTCTGTGAGGAAGAGACCCAGGAAAACAAACTCTGCAAAGTCTAGAAGAAGCCGAGAGGAAGGCGGTTAGCGCACGGTCCCCCACCCCCAACCCCTGCCTGGCTGCAGCCCGGACCTGGGGGCACCCGACTCTGGGCCTCGACGGGGAGCCCTGGGCTCTGAAATCTCGGCCAGGACAGGGCAACGAATGGCCTGGGGGCACGGAGACACGCCTGTCCAGGTGGCATGTGCTGAGTACCCAGCGCCCATGGGACAGAGGGACAGGCTCAGCAGGTGAGCTCCCAGGACCAGGCTCAGGGTGAGGACTGGGGCACGGGGCATCCCCCGAGGAAGGCAGAGGCCGCCAGGCCGAGGCCCCACAGCCCATCCTTCTGCCTCAGTCCCTTCCCCACCCCAGGCTCTGACCACGGCTGGAGTCCCCGGCCCGTCTTCCCGGGGACTCTGGCAGCCACCCATAGGCCCTGTCACCACCGTGCATCGTGACGCCCGCTCTCTAGACCTGCAGCTGCCCAGACCCTGGACGGCCAGAGCCACCGCTGCCCACGGCGCCATGCCTCATGTACTAACATGTGAGGGTCTGCGCTACCCCAGAAGGTCTCAGGGCGGGCACCCTCCTGCTACAGCCTGGGACACTCAGCCCTTGGAAGCGACCCCCCCACAGCAAGCCTGGCCTCTGAAGGCACCAGAAAGTCCCCAGGGCACCCAAGCCTGGCACGGCATGGGCAGTGAGAGGCCGAGTGCTTCCCTGGATGCCTTGTCAGAGGCACGGATACACTGACCCTCCGGCAGGAATGATGTGGGGCCTGCCCCTCCTGGAAGGCCACCTGGCTGCCAAGAAGGGAGGTCGTGAGCTATGCTCCCGACTGCAGCTTGCAAGGCCCCACACTCAGGAAAAATCGAGGCTCCTGGCCGCCAAGCCCCAGAGCCCTCCAGCAAGGTCATGCCTGGGGCTCCCCACAGGAGGGCTTCGGGCCTGAGCAGAGAGGCCCTGGGAGGGACCTGCAGCCGCCACTCGGATTGTGGAGCTGACACGGCCCAGGTGCTCACCTGGCCCCTAGGGCTGGCTAGCAGGGAGCAGGACAGAAGCCCACGGGCAAGACCATCCGAGCAGGTCAGTGGGCACACAGTCCCCGAAACCCTGCTGCCCTGTGCACCCCAAGGAGAAGATGCCCTCCCTTCGTGCCTAGCCTCCATGGGCAAGGAAGGGCGTGAATTCGTTCCTGGGTCACTCGTTCAGCTGGAGGTGTGAGAGACAGGGTCATCCTTCCCCCCAGGACCTCATGGGCCCGGGGGGCGTAGAGGCAGATGACGTAAATGGTGTTTGCTAGTAATGAGGTGACAGCATGCTATGACAACAGATAGGCAGAGGAGAGGGGAGCGAGCCTGTGAGTGAGCCGGGGGGGCTCACGGGATAACAGGGCCCACCAGCCAGCCTTGTGGGCAGCACAGCATCCACCTCTCCTTCCTCGCTGCTCAAGTCTCAGCCTCACGGCCCTACAGTGCATTGTGAGCGGGTCCCTGAGGACAGAACCCTCCCTCCCAGGGCAGCTGGCCTCAGGCCAGGCCCACGGGGTCCCTCCTGCTCTGCCCGCCTCCGCCTCTTCAGGGCCTGCCCAACCTGACTGGAGCCTCCCTCAGCTCGGCCGGGCCGTTGCGGGCAGAGCACGCACTGAGCTGCCCCACACATACCCACCTCTCCCTCCAGACACTTTCTCTGGGCGACCACCATGTGCTCAGGACACCACAGGGAAGACAAACCAGCAACGACGCAGACACCAAAGCACTGCCCGCCCTGTGCTCCTGCACCACAGACGTACGGCCAGGCCATGCAGGGGTCAGATCCCCAGGTAGCAAGGAGTAACCCGAGACCAAATGAGCGTCAGCTGCTTCCTTCGTGGGAAGAACAGATCTCACTAGGAAGCCCCCGGGAGAAGCCGCAGGCTGGCTGAGTCAGGAGGAAGCCCCCGCATTCGTGGTCCCCACCCAACCCCCAAGGGCGGGGAGGCATAAGCCTGAGAACTCAGGGGAGATTCTGAGTCAGTCCCCAGCAAAGTCCCGAGACACCAAACTGAGAGCCCAGGACACTTGATCGGAGGCCAGAGTGGGCAGCTGGATGCGCACAAACCATTCCCCGGCCGTCACGGGCCTGGGGAGCCTGAGCGGGGTGCGTGCGGGGCGCTCCCTGGGTCTCCCGCTCCCGCACCTGTCTGCCCGCCCTCAGTACACCAGAAACTGACTCAGAGCCAGTCTGAGAAACTGGAGTCCCATATTCCGCTGCACGACCGCGCGGCCTGTGGAGCCACCAGCCCCGACTCAGCAGGAGCCTCCACCAGCTGCCCGGGCTCCCAGCCGACAGAGGGGAGCGTGGCTGGCCTGTGGGGCCAGGACTGGCATCCGGAGGGTTCCCCTCTGGGGACAAGGCTCTCTTGGGCACCGCGGGTGGCTTTGGGCACACAGGGTTCCCATGGAGGGACCAAAACAGGCGTGTCTCCAGGTCACCACAGACACCAAAGCAGGGCAAGTGAGGCTGACCCCTGAGAGGCAGGATGGAGGCAGCACTGGCCGCAGGGCACAGATGGCCAGCGGAGTCCCCATCTAGAGCTCTAAGCTCCATGTGGCCTGCAGGTCCCTGGGGTGTGAAGACAGTGACAGGACGTCAGCCCTGGCCCCTGGAAAGGGGCAGGGAGCCCCCACCCCGAGTCTTCTTCCTTGTGCCTCCTAGGGACTGTCACCAGGGCCAAGACAAGCTGTGACTCAGAGTCCTATGGCTCGTCTGGCAGCTCACGGGCACAGGATGGCCACTCAGCCCCGGTCATGGACATGGCCAGCCCCAAACATCAGAAATAGAGTGCAAACAGCAGCAGGGTCATAGACGCAAGACGCTCTCTCCGCGGGGACTGGCGGGAATGAGCAGCTAAGGCCCCGCTCTGTGGGTCTTCAAGGCCTCGGAAGGGAGGACGCGGGTCATCTGGCTTGGCTTGTGCCTGGTCATCCACAAACTTGCTCCCCAGGGTGCTGGTCCCTCCCTGGCTCACAGGCCCTGACGGGTGGGGTCTGGCCAGACAAGCTGGGCTCCCAGGACCGGGCCCGGGGTGTCCGGGGCAGGCGGGGCAGCTACCTACACAGCGCCGTGGTGAGCCGCTGGGGCTGGTTGTGGTGCACCATGGCCACGCACAGCGTGTTCAGCGCCACCACGCACAGCACTGCCCAGTAGAAGCTCTGCGCCTTCACCACTCGCCGCACCAGGAACCGCAGCATCTTCTCCTTCCGGCGGAAGTACGATGAGCTCTCCGTCTTCCCGCTCTTGAGACCGGCACGGGCAAAGGGGGACCCTGCGGGGGAGAGGGCTGGCTGAGGACACGCCCCCTCAAGACGTGTGTCCCTGCTCAGCCTCCGGCGGCCCAGCCTGGCCCGAGGCCCCGGTGCCAGCCGCAGCCCGTGGCACTGATCGCCCTGCACCCCCTGCACAGGGTCCTGGCCCCACCCCATGCCGCACTGGGACGCTGAGCCTGGGAGTCTCCATGGGAGACCTGGCTGGGGACTGGCGCTGGGCCCCCAGCACCAAAGGCCAGCCTCCAGGAGCGCAGCACCTGTCTCCCAGGGCCCCAACTCCTCCCGTGGCCCTGGAGTCCCACTGCGTCTGGCCCTCCCGCCCTGTGACCCCGCCAAGCAACCACCGGCCACTTGTCCTTAAGTACTTCAGGTGGAACACAGCAAGCTCCTCCATCTGTGTCCAATCACAGAGCAGAGAAAAGCACGGCCGGCACGGCCTGAACGCCCACTCTGGGAAGTTGGCCGAGGGCGCCCCCACCCCAAACCCCACGGCCTGCTCTCACTCTGCCCAGCCCTCCGCGCAGCCTGTCCGTAAGCACCCCACTTCCGGCAGCTGGACTCTCCCCCTTGGCGGCTCCCTCTCAGCTTCACATCCCAGCTTTTGTCCCCTCCACAAAGCCCTTCTCTGGTGGCATCTAAAACAGGGTCCCCCCCAAAATATGACCATGACTGCACACCATCTGCCAGCATACTTGCTGGTTGGCCTGTTCTGTGCCCAACTCCCAGACCAGACTGCAAGCTCCGTGAGGACAGGCCACACGCCCTCTCACCTCTGAGCCCTCACCCCGCCTGACAGATGAGGGCGCGGCCCTCGTGGGTGCTGGGAGGCTCTGTGTGTGAGCTATGTCTGTGCCCACGTGAGGGTTTCTCCAGCTGCCGCCATCGGGCCTAGGCATGCGCATGCCTGAGTGCTCCAACCCAGTGGGCTCTGATCACCTGGGCTTACACATCAGGTCCCCGGGTGAGGTGTGCGGCATGTGTGAGTCACGTGATGGCCAGGGTGTCTGCACGCGTGTGTGCACGTGCATGCCCAGACCCTAAGTGGCATGCTAAGGGCACTACCAAGCTGCCATCCCTTGGACTCGCTGAAAAGGAGACAGGCCCCCAGGCCTATGGAGAGGCTTGTCTCCAAGCTGAGCAGCTGCAGCAGGCAGGGAGACACTGTCCTCAACAGCCCCGACATGGCAGGAGGGCTCCAGAGGACAGCACCCATGGGTGAGCCCTAGAGGGACTTCACAGGGCCCTAATGGCAGATTCCTGGTCCTCCAGGTGCCACACCCCATCCGTCACAGCCTACGCCAGCTAAGCAAGGACATAGCCCCCCAATCCATGTCTGTACCCCAGCCACTGCCTGTCAGAGCTGGGTCATTCAATGAAACCTCTTGGCCAGGCTTGCTGAGGGCTTCAAAGTCCCCAGGCCACAGCCAGACACACCCACTCCATCCTCAAAGGCAGCAGAGGGGCCCAGGGGAAGGACAGGTATGTGGTCCAGACAAGGAGAGTTCCACAGGGGCAGAGTGCGCACAAACCCAGCCAGCGAACCCACACACGCAGAGCCCCACCCTCACTCGGCCAGTTAGAGACACACACACATGCGCTGCACGGCACACATCCAGACCCCGACCACATTCTCGTGAAAGCACGGCCCTCCAGGACACGCACACTCAGATTCACACAGGGACACATCTAGGAACACACAGCCACTCTGCGAAGGAGGGGAAAGAGGACACGTGACACGCAAACTGCTGTGCACACACAAGCGGCAGGTAAGCCAAGCAGCACGCTCTCCAAGGGGGACGCCTTGGTGCACTGGATCACACCCAGCAAGACCCAGCCACCCGGCCATAGGAAAGGCTGCCTGGGAATGCCAGGCCACATGCGCACAGCCACACACGTGCTCACTTGTCAAAGGCACGATCACAGTGGTGTCCATGGCCACATGTGCACAAAGCGCACTTCCCCATGTGGCGCCTGAATCCCTGACACCCGCGGGACACGGGCAGAGGAGGGCCGGAGGGAGGCGGCTGTGCTCCGAGTCCTGCCTCCAGCCCTCACAGGAAGTGTACTTGACCCATCCACTGATCTCCAACACGCATCTCAAATGCAGCATGTCCCAAACCGGATTCTGGACACGAGCCCCACAAGATGCACTTGGCGGTCTCTGATCTTCCCGACATGTCCCGTGGAGCTGTCCTCGATGTCTGTCTCTCCCTCACGCCCACACCCAGCTGGCCAGCGAACCCCGTGTTCTCATCTCTCAGATACACGTAGAACCAGCCACTTAACGCCCCGTGGCTGCTATCTCCAGACCCCACCTACCCTGTGCTGGGCCCCACAGCGGCCAGCCTCCGCCCTTCCTGCACTCTGGCCGGAGACGTCTCCCTCTGCAGACCCGCCATGGCTGCCAGAGTCCCCCCCAGGCCCCGGCCCACCGTCACACTTGGATTTCCTCTCTCAGGACTCCCTCAGCCCAAGTCCCTTCATCCCAGCCAACTTGGCCTCATGGGATCCCTCATACAGGCAGGCACATTCCTGCCTCCGCAGCCTCTCACGAAGTGCCCAGGTGTCCTCTCCCACGTGTCCCTGGGCCAGCCTACCCACTTCCTTCAGTTCTTCACTCAATAGCACACCCCCAGCCTTCCACACCCATTCGTCCAGCATCCCAGCACCCCAGACTCTCCAAGCAGCTCCCTCCTCCACTTCCCCTTCTCACAGAGAGAGCTGGCACGCCGTACACTTCGCCTGTCATCTTGTTTGTGTCTGATGCCCCGCCCGGGACAGAAACTCCAAGAGACGAAGGGCTTGGCTTTGCTAGTGCTGTATGTAGCCCCAGCGCTTCGAACCAGCACGTGACGGGCACCTCACAGGTATTCACTGAGCGAATGAACCAGTAAAACACTGAATGCACAAGAGAGTTTTAAAAGCCTACGAGAACACTGCATGAAGCTTTATAGGAGCAAGTTCGAAAAACCAGGAAAATAAAGTTTCCTTAAAAAGTATAATTTATAAACTGGTCCGAGTGTTTTCTATGCCTTAGCTACACGGGTTCACAGTTTTATCTCACTGTTAAAGAACAGAACATTTAGATGTTACTTAAATGATTTCAAGGCACAGAAAAAGATTTTTAAGGCTCTCCAACTCATTTTACAAAATCAGAATAAAAACTCTAGGTAAAATAGGAATACAGGGAACTATTTAAATATACACACATAAGTTTCAAAAAATTGTAATGAAATTCAGGTCCACAACATACATCAGTCTCTTATTAATTAACAAACAAATGACACATAGAAAACGACAAAGAGAAAAATGGACAGGGCATATGAAGAGTCACAAACCCAAATTCAAATAGGAAGCGAACATTTAAAAAGAGGTTCAAAACCACTAGCGATGAGCGAAAAAAGAATTATAATTCCACTGAACTACCACTTTATAATCAATAAACTGGCAAACTGGCAAAAGTCAAAACTAGCTGCAACATCTGACCGGGATGGGGCAAATGTCCCCATGCACTCAGTGGGGGTGACGTCACACAGCCTTTCTGCAGAGCAGCGCGGCCGCAGCCCTGAAAGGTGCACACACACCCCGGGCCTCCGCGGCCCGGCCCCTGGGAACCCACCCCAGAAGCAAAAGCCCTGCTGAGGGAGGCCTGATGTCAGCAGGGTTTGGGGCAGCATTTTTCATGGTGGAAAAACACCTAAAAATAAATGGTCACCATCAGGGAGCAGCCACACAGGCATGGTGAATGCGCACCATGTGCCACCGCTTACGAGAGCCAGCCGCAACAGACTGACCCGGGGAGGGGGCTCCCAAATGATGAGAAGTGTGAAAGGGTTTCCGAAACATGGAAGGGCCCCAAACTCTGCGTACGTGGCCATGTGCGTGTGCGATGCATACGTGTGTCCAGTGAGATGAGCATGGGGACACGGACTGGCAGACGTGAGTCTGTGGGGCCCGGGTAGGCCAGAGGGAGGGGTAAATCAGTGCACAGACTACCCCACCACACAAACACAGCGGCCCTCGCCAGGCTTCTTTCTTGTAAAGTAACGGGACGGGAAACAGGTGTCCTAGCTCAGGTCCCCTCACAGACCGCTGAGCAAGAAGCCCCGCAGTGAGCAGCTGTCATCGCCCAGGTCAGCCCACCTCACACACTGGCCTCCGCTGTCACGGAGTGCACAAGGGCAGGGCATTTGGTGGCCAAAGGTCACACTTCTATACCAGACCGAGGAAGAGAACTGAAGGGCTCTGCAAGGTAAGTCACCCAGAATTTCCTTTGTCCCTTTGAGAATAAGGGGTGAGGCTGGGGCCTCAGAGCGGCAAGCTCCAGGAACGAGGGCGATGGACAGGGCTTTAGGGGAGAGACGGCCAAGATCTCGGTCCCTGTGGTCAGTGGCACACGTGATCGAGGGCCCCGCGTCCAGTGAGGGATGGCAGAGCCAAGAGTGACCATCAGCTGGCGGGTGTATCAAAGTGAGTGAGCCAAGGCACTGGGCACAAAGGGACTTTCCCTCCCGCCGGGCCCCCGAGAAGAAATCTGAGCACACACCGGAGAACACGGTGCTTCCCACACCACCGTGGAGGACTTGGGACTGGCTATCATGGGAAGGCTGGCGGTGGGGCAGACGGGAGGGAGCTGGGAGCCTGGTGGCAGGAGGCTGGTGCATGTGGTCCCCAGTCGCAGCCCAGAGCCAGAGGCCACGGAGACTCACCCCCGGCACAAAGGTCTGCGAAGCGGTCCTCGCCCTCCTCTGCGTGGATCAGGTCGTTCCGGCTCTTCTTGGTGGCTGCTCTCTTCAGCACTGCTTTAAACAGGGTGGGACAGGGCTGCATGAGGGAGCCCCGGCTGGCCGGGTGTCATTCAGCTGAGACCGTCATCCTCCCAGGAGGGAGCTGGCAGCCTCTCCTGACTTCTGACCCCGAAGCTGAAGCTGAGAGGAAGTGGGACTACCCTTGGCCCCTGGGGTCCCTTCTTGCTTCTCCGAGCAAAGGGACAAGGAATGCTAAGGAGGCCCTGGCTTTTCCTTCTCTCCATAGTGACATTAGTGGGGACAGCCTGGCTGCCAGCAAGGCCAGGAAACGCCAGGTGAGCAAGGCCAAGGCTGAGACTGCCCCAGCGGCCCACAGTCCAAGGCCAGCTGAGACCAGATGGGTCAGGTCAGATCTGCAGACCTGCTCAGGGGCCAGTTGAGGCCACAGCAGGTGTGGCTGCACTGTGTGGCCCTGTCCTGAGCACTGGGTAAGGAGAGAGCAGACTGCCCCCCACTGGAGCTATACAGGCAGCCAGGCCTGTGACCACGGCCCTGCTGGCCCTCACACCGCCCCAGTGGCCCCAGGCTGTGCTAGTGGTGTCTTTCCATGACCATCTGAGAGCAGCAGCACCCCAAGCCTAGGGACAGACACGGCTTGGCCTAGATCTGCGGTTTTGAAGCCACTTGAGAGAGCGCTGTCCAGTAGAACTCCCTACAACAACAGGAACGTTCCGTGTCCTCACTGACGGACGTGGCAGCAACAGCCCACCTGGCTCCTGCGACAGGGGCGAGCCTAGCGAGGCTGAGCAGCGCCCTACATGGCCTACACGGAGGCGCGCAGGTGCTGGAGCTGCGTGCAGGACAGCGTGGCTCCTGGGGCCACGCCGTGAGCTCCGGCCCCTGTGAGCCGGGCTGAGGCCCCGGCGGGCGTGGTCATGTGTGAGCCCGCTGCCACGACAGCCACTCGGGTCCCTGGCACGCAGCTGACTCCCACAGGCCTCCCTCCAGAAGGAGCTCTGCCCAGGACCCTGCATGGACATGGCATGCCGGCACTGGGCCCGGCGGAGCAGCAGGCTCACACGCGAGCTCCCCCCGCAAAACTGAGCCCGCACGGCAACAGGCGCGGAGGAGGGTCACCTACCATCCAGAGGGGACTTCTCCTCTGCGTTCCTGTCCTCCTCGGCCAACATGACTTCCTCTGTGAGCGAGACACAGCCGCAGGTCAGAGCCTTCCAGTCCCCACACCCCTGGGCCCACCCCCAAGGACACCCCGGCGCAGGGGCACCTCTGCCTGCAAGTCCTTGCCTCTCAGCCCTTCCACTCCAGAAGCCTGCAGCCCACGGCTGAGCTTTGTCTACCAAAATATATGCCCTGTGTCCCACAGACAGATGCCCCATGTCCCAAAGACACCCCATGTCCCACTGACACCCCGTGTCCCACAGACAGACGCCCTGT